CAAACTTGGCCCTCTAGATGTTTTCAGGCTACAACTCCCACCACCCCTTGCTAACAGGACCAGTGGTCAGGGATGATGGGAGTTGTACTGGCCACTGTAAGGAAATTCTGTCCTTGGTATGTTCATTTTCCACCTTTCCATTTTGATTCTCTGGCCCCATATCTGCACAAACGTATTATCCCAAAATACAGATGTGCTTTTACACTTGCAAGACTGGATGCTTTGCCATCTGCGGTACTTGAGGGTTGATTCCAAAAGATCCCGCCTGAGAAACGTCTTTGTGGAGATGGTAGCACCAAAACAGTGGCACACATCCTCCTGTCTTGCACTCTCTACAAAGACCTGAGGAACGAGATTATCACCCCACTCATACTAACCATCCTAGGGCACTTAACCACTGCCACAATGTCTTTTCTTCTATCAGTTCAAAATGAGCAGATAACAGCAAAGGTTGCTAGGTTCATAGCAGGGGCAATCAGAATAAGAGCCACTAAATGACTGCTGATTCGGACTCTAAATTGTGCTCTTATATCAAATTTTCCTTTCTGCGTATACTGTAATGTTTTATTGTTGCTATGGCCATTGGCTAACACAAATAAAGTTTTTATCTTCTTTTTTATCTTCTTCTTCCCAAAACATATGGAGGGCCGAGTTTGCCTATGCCTGCTTTAAGTTTTTATCAGAGATAAATAAAAAGGAACACACAAAGCTACTTGCAGTTGCCACAAGATGTCACTGTTTCCTCAAATTAGAATACAATTGTGTGTTTGCCTAGTTATCAGTGCTGAAAATGTTACCCACATGAAGCCCATAGTATTAGGAAAACTGGTAGCACACATGGTTTACACGCAGAAGGATGCAGGATCAATCCCCCATCATCTCCAGGAAAAAGGGACCTAACAGTATGTGAGGGGAAGAAACCATACTTCAGTGGCAAAACTCATGGTTTGCATGCAGAAGATTCAATCCCTGGAGCCTCCATTTCAAAGGATCAGTGAGTGGACTTGTGCTTCAAATCCTGGAGAGCCACTGCCAGTAAGATTAGACTAGCTTTTCTCCAAGTGTCTCTGGTTTTCTTAGCATTTGTGACTGGGCAGTGATTTGGAATCTCTGCTCCTTCAGAAGATGTTGGACCATCCCCAGTCAGTGGAGACTAGTCACTCACTTGTTTCATCACTTTGTCATGGTGAGTGGGCTTGCACGTTCCTATGACCCTTGTGAGCTAAGCCGTCGGGAGTCTCATACTCCCAGCAGGGTCACCCAAGGTGGTAAGGTCAAAGGGGAGGAGCTAGACAAAGAATGATCCAAGAAGTCCTCAACGGCAGAACAGGCAGAAGATAACAAGTCACATGTTACAGCAGCTGTGAAGGCGGATGAAGGCTGTAGCAGATAAGAATCTACGTCATGATGCTCATGTCATCGGAATAGTGCCTTACTGAGAAGACTGTGCGTTGGTCAGTGTGCACTGATCTACACACATAAAACAAATTCACGCACAGGCATCTTCCAAAAACCCATCCCAAAACCAAACCCAAAGAAGTTCCATGGTGATCCGCAAATGGTAATGGAGGCAGAATCGTGAAATCTGTGCAGCACAGTTGAATGTAGGTCAAGCTGTTGTACCTGTTATCTAATATTAAAGAGTGCTTGTAGACTGATGATCAGGCAGCATAGGGTATGAGTCTTATGCCTACTGATTGATTTAATGTAATACATAATTTATTTATATTGACCCATTACAAAATTATTTTTTCTTCATCTTTATTATTTAGTAAGGTAAAGGGTAAAGGGACCCCTGAGCATTAGGTCCAGTCGTGGCCCACTCTGGGGTTGTGGCCCTCACCTCCCTTTATTGGCCGAGGCAACCGGTGTACAGCTTCCGGGTCATGTGGCCGGCATGACTAAGCCACTTCTGGTGAACCAGAGCAGCGCATGGAAATGCCGTTTACCTTCCCACTGGAGCGGTACCTATTTATTTACTTGCACTTTGATGTGCTTCCGAACTGCTAGGTTGGCAGGAGCAGGGACCGAGCAACGGGAGCTCACCCCGTCACGGGGATTTGAACTGCCAGCCTTCTGATTGGCAAGTCCTAGGCTCTGTGGTTTAACGCACAGCACCACCCGTGTCCCTATTATTTAGTAGGCCTATATTATTATTTACTAGTACAGTTCCCTATTACCCCCACTTGCTACTACTGTATAATACTATATATACTATATAAAGGGCCCCATTACCTTCAGTAGCTTAGGGCCTCATCAAACCTAAATCTGGCCCTGGCTATCACATGGAAGGTAGAGCAAGCTTGCTTTCTGCTGCTCCAGAGGAAAGGAGCAGACCCCACAGATTCAAATGACAAGGAAATTCTGAATATACATTAGGAAGAACTTTCTGAAGGTAAGAACTGTTCAACAGTGTCATGCAATACCTCAGAAGGTCGTGAACTCTCCTTCATTGGGGGTTATTTGAACAGAGGTTGAAAATTCATTGGACAGGAATGCTTCAGCTGTATTCCTGCATTTCTGACATCACTTGGGAAGACAGGTGAACTATTATCAGTGTACTGGAAAAAGCAGAGATCCCCAGTGTTGAAGCAATGATTTTTCAACATCAGCTTCGTTGGACTGGTCATGTTGTGTGGATGCCTGAATACCATCTTCCAAAGCAACTACTCTATTCCGAACTTAAAAATGGAAAGTGTAATGCTGGTGGTCAACAAAAGAGGTTTAAAGACCGTCTCAAGGCAAATCTTAAAAAATGTAGTATAAACACTGACAACTGGGAAACACTGGCCTGCGAGCACTCCAGTTGGAGAACAGCCTTTACCAGAGGCGTCATGGGCTTTCAAGACACTCAAACTCAGGATGCAAGGGAAAACATGCTAAGAGGAAGGCATGGTGTGGCAAATCCACACCATGATCAACTCCCGCCCGGAAACTAATGCCCCCACTGTGGAAGGACATGTGGATCCAGAATTGGCCTCCACAGTCACCTACGGACTCATTGTTAAAACCGTGTTTATGGAAGACAATCTTACTTGGCTACGAGTGATTGCTAAAGAAGAAAACCACAGAGCCTTTGTGAAGTAGGATGTCCCTGCATTCTAATACGAGTGATTGCCAAAGAGAAGAGACTGTTTGGGTCCCTTCTATGACTTACAAAGGGACCTTCTGTTTCTTTTTAGAATTGAAAAAAAGGAGTAGCAGGGAGAGATGGCTTTTGACAGGTTGAGAGAACAATGCCCCATTTGCTGTGATGGACCAGCCTCCGCTGACCCTGGTCCCTTATAACAGTCAGTGGCATGGACATTTATTTTAGGACCCTTGTTATGTACAGATATAGAACAGAAGGGTGATATTGTGCAAAGTGCTCCTCGCTGATTATGAAGTGAGATTGCAGGCCGACCGAACAGACCAGAGTGTGCTCTAGGTTTACACATATATATGTGGCTTAGAATCTGCAATTCTGGTTGTGAACAGCCCTGGAGCCAAAGCATAAATAGCTTGTTCCTAAGGTCCTGTAGAGCAAGCTGATAATAACTAAAAAGTGCAATTGCAGTAATTTTCCTTGGAGTGCCGCTGGGTAAAATCTCTCCCTCGTCACCCTGCACAGGCTTTTAAGCAATTTTCAATCTGTGCTTCATTAGAGAGAGAGAAAAAGAGAGCGAGAGAGAATAAGAACTGCCTAGCTCTACCTGCACCCAGTCACTTGAAAATACTAGCAAGCGGCGAAGGTCGTATGTTTCAGTGATGTTTTGTTACAGCAGTGTGTCCCCCAAAGATTAACCCACAGGAGATGAACTGTAGGGGGTCATACACAAAGGGAGGAGGAGTGTCCCAGAAGTTTCTCAGTGATGGAGGCAAAAGACTCAAGCTCACAGGGAGGGACAGACCAGAGAGCCTGACTTCCAAAACATTCAAAGACCAAATCATGGCTTCTGATTGGTCCCAGGAGCTTCCCTGTCAGACGTTTGGGTTCCATAGAATGTTCGCAAACCGGAACAATCACTTGCGTCTCGAGGCTCCAAGACCCACCCCCAAAATAAATACACATGGACACTTATATTAGTTTAAGTTTTTGGGCAAAATTTTTGGCCACAACTTTATTGAAATACAATCACATGAGCGGTATTGGCTTAGGCATTGACTCCCCACTATAACTGGCTCCACCTCTCAGGGTGATCGTCAAATGGGCTAAACCAAACGAGGGAGCTAGGTCAATGAGAACCAACCTAAGCTCACCCCGGGGTTCCTTTGGTCCTGGCATGGCCCTAGCCCCTCAAGCGGACTTCAGACGAGATCCAGGACCCCCAGATTCCTTTAACGGAATACCCAGTTCCTGGAGGGGTAGGTGATGGCCGCACCTCCCCTCCCCACAATCCAACTGAGCCAATGCCTAACCGCCACCTTACAAGTTGTGACGATTTGCTAAGGGGTAGGCGAAAACCAAATGGCTAAAACCAATCTGCCAAATGGAAAAATTCCTCCCCAGCCCCTGTTCCAAAACAAGCGACCCAAACCAAAGCAAGGCCAACTAGGGAGGGTGGGCGGGTGTTCAAGAGTGTGAAGCAAGTGCCCCTCCTTGCATCACACTGCTGTTTTTAAAGCCCCTGGGATCACGCCACCCACTGGCTATCGGCTAAAATTGCCTGGTGTGATCCCAGGGGAATGGCTAGGACTTCTTGCTCCTCCTCCCCCATTTTAACCCTATCAGGTGAGCTCTTGGGTTCCACGCGCAACCAGGACCCTCTGTTATGAGGATCCCATTTCTGGGTTTGCAGTGTCCGGGAGCCAAAACGTACGAGTTCCAGGGCGTTCGACAACCAAGGTATGACTGTAATGATTAGGGATGTGCACTAGATTCTGCCAAGTCCCGAGCCAAATCAGGTATCAGTTAAGTCAGACTGAGATATGAGGGATGGATGACGGGGGGGGTGGGGGGTGGACAAAAAGGTGGAGACCTACCTGATTGGCAACAGGTTAGGAAAATTCTCAACACTCCCTGGAGATGACAGGATTAGAACCTGGGACCTTCTGCATGTAAAACAGATGCTCTACCTCTGAGCTACAGCCGTTCTCTTGGGGGATATTACAAGTATCCCCAGGTTCATTTGTGAACTGTCAGAAAGCATCTGTGGAGAATGCAGGCTGCCTCTCGTTCCAGGCCATCCCGTGAAAGGATTCATCGCGGTGACGGGATTCAGATTTGTGACGGGAAAGGTAGAGATTACCTGCAGTGCTTCCAAACTGCTCTTCTCTGAAGCATATGGCATCGTTGACCAGCATGCCAAAAACACCCTCTCTTTGCGTTTGGTGGGAGTGAGCTTTTGCGATATGGACCTAGCCCAAAAAAAGAGGTGAGAAGGTAAATGGGGAGGAATGCAATCATGGTCTCTTTAGCAGAAGTCACAGGGCAAAAGAGAGCCATCAGCCAAAAGAACAGCCATGGACCATAAAGAATCACATCCCTCCTCTGCCGGAGGCAGCATCCTGTATAATCCACACCTTTTGCAGAGCCAGCCATCCTCCCCTTTCTCATAAAATGGCGTTTGCGAAGATTCGTAACCGTATCACTGATACGCAGTGTGTCTTTTTGTTAAGCCCGCCAGGTAGCAGAGACGTGAGGAGGCAGCGATGTTTAGCTCCCCATCTGTGGTGATGCATTCTAGGATGTAATAGCCAGGAATGTTAAAATAACTGCCCATTATATGATCACCTTGGTTCTAATGCTGAGAGGGGGTCATCGGTGAGATTGATCTTCCAGAGGCATGAAAAGATTAAACGCCACTTTCAGGAAACCAGCAGTTCCAGAGTGATGGCGCAGAATAACAAAGGGTGGATGAACAGGACAAGGCTTGTTTCGAAACACAAAAGAAGGTTTATCCAAAATGTCTGGCTCGGCAGAATTTCTCAACGTTTGTGTGGCTCATAGGGAGAGCAAAACCCACCCGAGGATAGAAAAAGGGAGTTCTCATGAAGCGAGAATAAGTTTGAGATTAGGGTACTTAGTATTTGATGACATTTATTTGTTCAAATTAAATCTTGGCCTTCTTTCTGAAGGATCCCAGATGGCACATCAATACACATCAGTAATAAAATGTATTATTATTATTATTAATATTATTATTATTTTACAACATAGTCCACAACAACTCATACATACAAATAAATCTACCACCATTGACAATTCAGTTATCAAAATTAAACTCCTATCCTCTTACATAAAGAAAACATAACATAAAAATAAAGGACTTCCTTTATCCTGTAAATAGCCTCCTTATTTACTTCTTGTATACTGTTTCTTTTATATGTGATAATTACAATTTTTCCTAGTTATGACTTAAAAAACAAGTCCAGATATATATTTTGGGGCACTGTTTGGTAAAGTATTATCTGCATTTTCCCCATTCTTTTTGAAATTCTTGTCTGGGTTGTCCCCTAATTAATCTGGCCAGTTATTTTTAAGCATTATGAAAACTGTTTAAATATTATAAAAAATCAGTTGATATAGTCTCTCAGTTATCTTAGAGCATACCTGCCAACATTTCTTTGCTGAAAATAGGGATGCCCCATTCCACAATGATAATTTTACCGTTTATACCTCTCACATTTTACTGGGTTGCCCCAGCCACTCCAACATATATAAAAACACAATAAAACATTAAATATTGAAAAAACTTCCCTGTACAGGATTGCCTTCAGACAGCTCGGGAGTTGAATAACTCTATACCTCCAACAATTCTCCAGTGAAAATAGGGACATCCTAAGAAAAAGTGGAACATTCCGGGATCAAATAAGAAACTTGGATGGCTCCTCTAAATCTGGGACTGTCCCTGGAAAATAGGGACACTTGGAGAGTCTGTTAGAGTTGCCAGGAACAATGTATTATTGAACGTTTCCGGGCACAATTCAAAGTGTTGATGTTGACCTTTAAAGCCCTAAACGGCCTTTGTCCAGTATACCTGAAGGATTGTCTCCACCCCCATCGTTCCACCCGGACACTGGGGTCCAGCGCCGAGGGCCTTCTGGCGGTTCCCTCGCTGCGAGAAGCCAAGTTACAGGGAACCAGGCAGAGGACCTTCTCAGTAGTGGCACCTGCCCTGTGGAACGCCCTCCCACCAGATGTCAAAGAGAAAAAACAATTACCGGACTTTTAGAAGACATCTGAAGGCGGCCCTGTTTAGGGAAGCTTTTAATGTTTAATAGACTATTGTATTTTAATATTTTGTTGGAAGCCGCCCAGAGTGACTGGGGAAACTCAGCCAGATGGGTGGGGTATAAATAAATTATTATTATTATTATTATTATCATCATCATCATCATTATCATCATCATCATCATCAACATCAACTGCAACCGTGAAACCTTAATTTAGGTCCCTAGTCAGCTTCTGCCAGGAAATCAGAGTTGTATTGCCCTCTTCATTTTGGGACTTTCATATGTTTCCCTTCCTCGCAGGCCTGCTCTTTCATGTCTGCTCACGACTGAAGGCGAAACCATTTTTTGCATGAATTTAAAATTTGGCTGTATTTCAAAGTTGGGGAGCTGACTGTTGGCAAGACTCTTGACGATAACAGCATTGGTTGGACAGCGTCAACAGAGCAACTGCTGCCCAACATGAACAAGCACTTAGAAATGAGAAAAACAGGCCATCCTGATGGAGATGAATCAGCTGCTTAAAAAAACATGAAAGATATGTGTGTTTGGGGGCTCTTGCCACTGGCTCGCTGCTTTTAGTGTTTTGGCGTTGTGCTATATTTCATGCACTTTGTGAAGTGTAAGCACCACTGTAGCCTCTGAAATTGCTCTCCTTAATGTGGTCTGGGGAGGTTTTGGCACGCCGGTGGAGAGCTCTCTGGCTAAACCACTGGAATGATGATGTATATCTGAAACGTTCTGCTGCTCACTTACGCTTAAACTTATTTTCTTGTTAACTTCCTATATCCTGGGAGATTCACTGCCATTTGGAAGGTCAACACTAGGGATGGATGAATCTGTCAATTTCCATTTCTCTCAGTTTTCCTTCTTTTTTTTCAATTTTAAGCTTAGTTCTATACATTCCCATTTCAGTTTGCAACTGTAAAAAATATATATATATTAAAATTTGCCAACAAATTATTGTATATTTCCCCTCCCTGATATACACATCCTTTGACTGCAATTTTGCATTAAATACTTTTTTGCATGCAATTTTCACTAATACGAGGCATTTTTTTGCTTTAGTTGAGAATCCTTAATTGCAGGGGGTTGGACTCTACAATTTTTTGATTTCCACTAATATATATTATTATTCACAAGTTCAATTAATGTGTGCCTTTAGTATACTTTCTTTGGTTGGAAAGCTGTATTGCAGAGATGTGCAAACTCGGAAGCATGGCTGCCTCTTTCTTTGTGTATTGTTTCAGGAACTGTGGATTAGGCAGATTTGCATTAAAATGCTAACCAAACTGCATTTCTCCCTCATTCATTCCTAGTCAAAACAGTGTATCCTCTAGTAACCCTGTCCTCATGGAGCCTTTTAAGGAAGTTTTTTGATCCACAAAATTGCAATGTGAATCATCTCAATAGGCTGACATTTCAGCACCTAAGACAATGTAAAAAATGTTTCTTACCATCCTCAATGCTGTTGCCGTTGCTGTAGCTGTTGCTCTTCTTCTTCTTCTTCTTCTTCTTCTTCTTCTTCTTCTTCTTCTTCTTCTTCTTCTTCTTCTTCTTCTTCTTCCCAGGGACAGCTGAGAACACCAGACCTTGCTAGATGTGACACAGCTGGGTGTAGATTTGAGCAGGCTTGAGAGTCAGTGTGGTGTGGTGGTTAAGAGTGATAGTCTCGTAATCTGGGGAACCGGGTTCACGTCTCCGCTCCTCCACATGCAGCTGCTGGGTGACCTTGGGCTAGTCACACTTCTTTGAAGTCTCTCAGCCCCACTCACCTCACAGAGCGGGGGAGGAAGGGAAAGGAGAATGTTAGCCACTTTGAGACTCCTTCGGGTAGTGATAAAGTGGGATATCAAATCCAAACTCTTCTTCTTCTAGAAATGAAATGGTGTGGCTGTTGACGTGGATGCCAGCTAAGTCCTGCTCATGCTACAACCCTTTTTGTGGGTTTTGGGTTAGCTGGCTGAACCCCCCACAGAGCTGGACAAGCAAGTTGTGTTAGCTTATTTTTGGCTGAGCCAGAGATCCACTCTCTCCAAAACCTAAACAGCTTTTAAAAGGCTTTTAAAAACAGCAGATAAAACCTTTTTGGGAGGAACAACGCCCGAGCCTTTTTATGCAACTCCCTGCCGAGCCACCATCTTCCTCTTCCTCCATTTAACACCTGTTCATTACATAAAATGCCTCTCTCCTAAGTTGCTCATTTCTGGCGGGCTAAGATTGTCTCCTTAAGTCACTAAGGGCTTTATACACAAGAATGTGAGCACCTAGAATTGAGCCTAAGATACCTAGATAGATGGCAGATATTCATATCTCATTTCATTTGTAATTTGGGAGCTCCACAAGTCTCTCTTTTATTTAGTTCACATTGGGAGTCTAGGGAGTCTGTTTTCTATATTTCAGTGTTTGGCACATTTGGAAGGAACATAAAAAAAAAAGAAAGAATTGCCACAGAAGCACCAGCCTTTCAATTTCCTGGAGTTGTTTCTTGTAATTTCCCTCTGCTCCTTTCTCCTCCTCCATTTTTACCTTACCGTCCTTATGATCAAAAGTTCTCTGTAAGCCTGGGATGCAAACAGCACACTCAGGTTTCTGGAAGCCTGGTAGGGAGTCCTGTGATGTACAGTGTTTGCAAGAGGACAAACAATAGCTCTTCCACTGTCTCCTTCTCAGCACACCTGCCCTGCTGCTAAGGTATTTCTCTTTGTTGCATCTTGTCCTCTGGTTCAAAGGAACTTCCCTCCTGCAAATTAGGTTCATTGCATCCAAACATTCATTCCATTCTACTTGGGCTTAATTGGAATCATTGTATAGTGAACAGTTTCTTGGTGTGTGTGGTTTTATACAGTACATTATCTGAGGCCCTTTTCACTGGATAAGTCTTCAACCTGGGACTTCAACCTGGGACTTTCTGAAT